GCTCATCGCAACAAACGTCATCATCAGTCACGGCTCACGCATTTAACACAGCAAAACTAGAGGCCACCAGTTCAACCGAAATATGAACCAATTGCATGAAGCTGCAGCGTGTTTCTAAATTGGTGTGAGAATGACAGCTGTGTTTTCCAGCCTGCTTAATTCTACATGTGTACAGGTTGATGGTTCAACTAGAGGGCAACTATAATGTGATGAAGTTAATGTTCATTTTTCAAATTCTCTCCCGCAGCGAGGGACTGACTGCAGCACTGATCTCAGGTGGCACAGCCTAAACAGCCAAGATACGGTGCGCTCTATTTAGTGTGACTGGAACTATTTAACCATTGGTGCCAATATTTATATTCTTTTGGCAGGTTTGACTTGTAGATCAAACACTCATGAATAATACATTTGGTAAGGGCACACTGAAATCATTGGTGTAAGCTTTGCAGCAGGCAGTTTTCCCTTCAATGCAGCTGTTTTAACGGGAGCCAGAATGGCACGCGGCAGCCAGAACAACAGCTAAATACGGTTCCTCCCCCTCATTGTTATCGCTGGAGCTGATTTCAAAATGCACACAGCATGACAGCAAGGGACACTATAAATCACCCGGAGGTAGCAGAAGCAGGCTGGGACTGACCAGCACATTAGTGTACTCTTGATGGGCACAGGTAAGGAGAAGTATGGGTGTTAAATTTATGTATGTGTTAGGTAGCGTCTCTATTGCTAGACTGAACTATGGATGCATGTGTGTGTATGTGTGAAAGACAGAAAGAGAGAGAGAGAGAGACAGAGACACCCAGGCAGCAAGCTATTCTCCTGGATAAGAAGCTTTCAAGTAAATGAATGAATACATTATGGATTAGTGGCCGAGTACCAGAAAGCAGCTATGCTGTATCTGAGCTGAGTGCAGCTCTTGTGTTGGCAAGTGAAGGTGCAAAACAATAAGTCGGTAGGAGGCCAGGTAGACAATTTGGACCTGGGAGGCCTTTGGGGGCACCTATGGGACCCTTGACTTGGGATGCTTATCAATCATCAATTATACAGATGAAAGTAGAAAACTAAGGTGACATGCGGCAAATTCCTGGTACGTGAACACCACACAAGGAGTATGCGTACATTCAGATCCATGCATTAATTTTCACTCCCATAGACCTACACACACACAATAGCTGCAAATATAGACATGGATACACAGAGACATTTCCCCTCCCTGTGTCCTCAGGGTAAAGAATGCATTCATATTCAGCGAATGATCGGCGGAGGCAGAAACCGTTTGGATCCATTTCGTTTTTGTAGCCGATGGCAGGAAGCAGCGGCCATTATGACCTTGCGATGAATTCAGGGTTCATTTCCTACGGTTTCTTTTTTATTTTTTAACGCATGCACACAGAATTAAATTTTAAAAAAAAGGAAAGAAAAAAAGAACAAAGGGAACTGCGCACTGAGAGGAAGAACATTCGGTAAAGACTAAGTCGAAGCTGTCATGGCGCTCGTTCATGGTGTGACTTTCAATTCCAGGTGCGCGGTGATTGAGAGAAAGTTTCATTTGTGCCCACTGTCATTTATTCATTAGCTCCCGATCAGCTCTCCTGTGCAAGGCGTGAGATGTTATAAATCAGTCACTGGCTAGACATTAACAATTCATGCGATTCATAATACATAAGACCAGTCATTTATTTATCACCTCTAAATGGGATTTCCTTCATTCTCATTGGCTGCAAGTCAGAAGTCAACTTCTGTTAGCCTGTCCAGCAGCCATTTTGAACCAAGTTGTAAATGACGCAAATCTGTGCTGAACGGGACTGTCAGACAGGAAGAGCTCCTGCTTCCTAACTAAATCTGGTTGGTTTGACTGGTATCATTTCAAATAAAAGCAGCAGGCGTTAGGCTGAGGCTCGCTGTTGGCACGGTAGTTTTCTGCTGATTCTCTTGAGCAGTCAATGTAATTGTGAGTAATTAGGCCTTAAAGTACTGTTGTCTTTCTCCAACCTGGAACATGACTCCCGAGGGAAAGCATGTGGTATTTTTTTTTTCAGGGTATTGGAACGGCAGTCACTGGTATACAGAAGGAGGCTTTTGCTAAACAGGCCCTATATGAAAAGCCTGGCACCATGCCACCTGATGCAAACGCCATATGATCACGCCGACTCTCTAGATGAATCTAAATTATACCTTTGCCCCGAGGGCCTCGGCAATTCTCATTGAAAAGATACACAGCTAATTATAATGGAGGTACAACAGCCTCATAGAGCCTCATAAAGACGTGGTGTTTGATATCTGGCTCTCTGACCAGATGCTGTTCTTTTCTTTACACTACACAACATGCTGTGGCACTCTGTCTGCTTCATACGTGCCCTGCAGTTTTAGTTTAATTAGCCAGATCCTAGAAAAACGCTGCAATATAATTTGTAATAATGGTAGCCGGTAGTAACGAGGGATAGCACTATGATAGAGGAATATGCCAAAATGATGTTTCGTACTCAGAGAAGCAAAGAACCTTAACCCACATGTCACCTGTGCCCACAGCATGTGGGTTAAACATTGTCTATTAGAGGTGTGAACACACTGCAAATTTGGACTCACCAGTCAACCTAACAGGCATATTTCTGGATTGTGGGAGCAAGCTGAAGTACGAGGAGAAAAGCAACCTACGCACAGGCAGAACATGCAAACTTCACACAGAAAGGCCGCAGGTGGCCCCCAGATTCAAACCAGAACGCGTGAGGTGACAGTTTTTACCTTTGCACTACAGTGCTGCATGGTTGGCCATTTGGAACAACTACAAACATGTGCCGCATGAATCACCATAATGGTGGCCGTGTGGATGCTGTCAGCCCTTGTTTAAGGCCTGTCAGCACTAGTTTAAAAAGAATCTAAAATAAACTGCGAGACTCTAGCTGCGTATGATGCACATGTGAATTAGACCCTCACGTCCCACTTCGCTTGCCTGGTTTATCTTATCTTCGGTGTGAATGCAATGCAGCTCTGTGATCTCAGATTTTTATTCTGCTTGTGATGTTATCCAAAAATCCAGCACAGTTTCTCTTTTCAATCAAACCTGCTGCTTCTGAATGAAGTGTCGGGTTAGGCTGAACATATTTAAGTATTGTGTCCTAGCCTTTTTTGGTAATTAGCCAATGCTACACATAAAAATCTCCTCAGAATGTTATAATCTTGTTCATATCTATTCCTCAATATGACTGCACTCATTCAGACTCCATGTAAAAAGTAGCATTGCTTCGACGCTGATGTTGTGACTTTTATAGAAGATTGAGCAGAAGATTTTTTCAGAGGCGATACTGGCACTTTAAACTGCTGTCAGATACACTGGAAGGACTTACGGGTGGCTGGCTTGTTGCAGTTGTGTCCATGTCTAAAGTACTGAGGGTTCTCCACTACAGGAATACGAGTCATCCCTATGACAACCGCATCAGGACTCGCATCCAGAGTACAGGGGGTAATAATCCCGTGGTTGACATGGTGAAGAGGGCTAGCAGAGTCTTCCTCACCACTGATTACAGCTACTGGTCCTGGAAAGAGACACAAGAAAAACTTACTTCCAAAACGCATTTTTTAAAAAAAAACTGTGAATATACTTGGTGAGACACAAATACAATTTCCTAAGGTATTCTATTAAAAAATAAATAAATAAATAAATAAAAATAATAATAATAATTCTGGGTGGAGACTGAGTTGCTGCAGTTGTTGTTTCTTAGATATGGTAATGAAGTACACCGTATGCATGTACAGTAAATTATCTTTTACTAGAGTCACAGTTATAAAGTAACATTTTCAAAGTGGGAGGTTTGTTTTTATGTCCAGGCACAGCCAGGGAAAATAAGAGCAGTTGCAGTAAACATGACTTCATATTTTTATTGGCATGTACCCATAATTACCCCAGTGTGGAGCAGCGATATAGATACAAACAAATTAAAGTTGTTTTTTCTAACTAATTCAAAGCAAAATAAATGAACAGAAAAAATTTATTTATATTTTGTTATAGAGAAATTGTTTATACCCAGTATATACTCCAAATGACTAACGCTAGGTAAGAAGCAATTCTGACATCTAAACAGCTGGAAATGGGTAAAAACTAAATTGTTTGGGGATTTGTTTAATTTTTAGTTAAGGGCTCAAATTTAAAAAAAAAACTTCTGTAATGAGAAAAAGAAACTCAGTTTATTTATTCCTCCTTCAAAAATTAGCTTACCTGTTTAACTTACATATAAAACGGGTGCGTTTTGCTGGTGTTTTATTTCCTGAAGCTGCTAGCATATATGTCAAAATCCATTTTGGATTTTCAGTTGGTCACTCATACCCATCATTGGAAAACTATCAATTCAACATTAATTGATCAAAATCTGCCCCCAAAACACACATTTACAGTGTTGTTAAATAGTTGATCTGTAGACTTCACGTTTTCTAACCAGCATTTTATTCTTACATCCAAAGCTCAACAGCAACACTTCCTACACATCTCAGCATCTCACAGCTCTCAGACTAGAACACTGACGGCATTTATCTCCCAACCTGAAAACTTTCTCTCTCAGTGACAGGTAACAGGTTCATG